ATCCAGGTTCGCACCAGCTAGGTACCAGGCATTCAGTCCCTCCACATCGCCTTTAACCGCAAGGCTGGAAAAAGAATAATTAATATTAGTTGTAAATCTTGCAGTCCATTTCGGTGGGCTCCTGGGTCCTGTTGATTAGCTCAGCGGGCAAATGCTGACCCAGAACAGGCTCAACATGGCTGCCAGGGTGGAAAGGTAAGTGAAGGAACACTATTACAACAGCTTTGAATAGCTGAGCAAGCAACACAGCTTGATGAATCAGTTCCTTAAATTAATAGGGCTGTGTATAAGTACTTACAACAGGCTAGTTTCACACAGTGGGTGTGACTATGACCAAAGGGGAAAAAAAGTCATGCAGTTTCATATTTCACAACACAATATTTATCTCATGAAATGAGTTGGGGGGAGGGCAATGGCTAAATCAAGATGCAGCTGAGTAAGTGAGAGCACAAGCAGATGTGCTAGCAATCAGCGTGCCTCATTAAAAACCATTCAGAAAACCCCTTCACAAGTCTGCATAACTACGCTTGCTAGTAGAAGTTATGACAGCATATTTATGTGACGTCATTTGGACAGTAACACAGCTACATTTTATTGAGTTTTATAAGATAAACTGTAAGATTTAAATGGGCAGCAAGCAAAAAAAAAAAAAGCTTTTTAAAGATGACCTCTATCTGCCACGTACAACAAGCATTAGAAAGAATCAACACGAATCCTATACAAATAAGTGAGTTAAAGTTTTCAGAGGAATGTAAACCAGATTGTTTCTTCGCACATCAGCTGGTAGTCGTAATACTTACAGTTAATTGTTAACTTTTATTTTGGTAAAAGAAGGGCTAACAGCCTGTACATACACAAAAGCCTGACCGTCTGTACCAAACCTGCGGACGGGCTGAACTGCTGGCAAGGCTGGGAGGACTACTGTCGGTTTTCTAAAGATACCAACATCTGTCAGGCTTCAGACCTGAGCTGCCGTGTGCTTGCAGATTGTTCCAGCAGAACCACACCGATAATCATCAAGTGAGGTTGAGTCTTATTAAGAGAGGGGGAGCCCTCCCCAAACTTATTAAGTTCAAAGTTTGCTGCCTTCAACAGTGCTCGCTGTGGGGGAACGGCATACTGCTGGCAGCAGGGATGGAGGACGGTGACAGGCTCCTGGGTATGACAACCAAGCCAGGCAGACCTGGTGGAGAGTGGAGAAGGCTGGAAGATATGCAAGGGGCGGACAGTCAGGTAAGCCTTATGGAAGAAACCCTGAAAGCAAGGCTGCAACATTCACTTCTCTGCTAGGCTGAAATCACTTCTGTTGTTGATTAAATCTCTTTAAGTACCTGAAAAAATGTTTTCAGGGGAGTGGAAGCCTCTAATTGCAGCAGTCTGAGGAGAAAGTCAGAGAGCGGCTTTTGCTTGCAGCAGTCCCAAAGGTTGGGCAGGAAAAGGGAAAGCAAATGGTCTCTGTCTGTATGTACCTCTCCATGCACCCCTACCAACCTGAGGCAGGGCAGGAGACCTACAGCTGCGGCCTTTGGGGGGCAGGGAAGTGGCAGTGGGGTGCTACAAGGTTTAACGGTGCCTCAGTCTAACATCATGAAGAAAAGGATCAATAAACCATCAATGAAAACTGCCCTCACAAAAAAAAAAAAGAAGCCTCTCAGAAGCAATAAGGAAACAGAGGAAGGCAAAGGAGTTCTAATAGGAAGCTCAATGGGAAGTCCTTAAGAACACTGCAGGAAAAAGTAAGCGTTAGTAAAGCAGAGAAGAAATTGCTTAGCAGCCACTTCTGGAACACAACAATTATCTTTACTTACAAAGACAAGTCTCTTGCTGTTGACACTGGAAGCTCCCCGAATTAAGGAACAAACAAACAGCCTACCTAGCAAGTGAGAGTTACAAGCGCCTCCGACGCTGGACAGGAAAGCCCTGTATTTGCCAAACAGATTCTCATTGTTCAGCCACATGCAAAGCGGAAACCACTTTGGGCGAAGACCAGCACATTTAGAAATATTACCAACCTACGTACCCAGGGCAATTCAGCTGGCATCACTGTAAGCAACAAACAAGGACTCCTGCACTTCCTTGAAAATTAACTGCCTAATAGCACCCGTTCAGAAAGAGCAATTTAACCCACATCACCAGAGGTCAACACTGTGAAGTGGTCTCCTTCCGTAACATCAGAGCAATCCAAATACACAGAATTATCTTCAATTTTGCAGCAGCCGTTTACTGATCAGGTGAGAAATGTATTCTATGGGGACTGTGACCCAGAGAACAAAAAGTGATGCAGCTTGCAAGAAAATTTAGATACCACTCTAAATAGAAGATACCTACTATTCACTACATTGATTATAATCAAGAATACCACAAAACATTTTCTCCGGTTTTAGATCTCTGGAGCGAAGGCAAATGCATCTATATTTCCTTTACACACTCTAAGTGTACTTCATACAGTTAAATATATACATAGGACTTCTCAGCACGCACTATAGGGACCTTTGCTCTGTATTTTTCTCAAAGATATTTATGCCAGCAATTTCAACTACAAGGTCATCCTCTAAGCAGCAAGTCCATCGGTTTTATATCATTAAATGGAATAAAAATAACTTCAATATACACTTATCAGGATGTTTAAACCCTGCTTTGTTGACAAAGAACTACTTAACCACATTTTACTAAACTCTGACTGATACTTTTTACAGCAGATAAACCCAGGTATGCTGCTGATCAATACTCTCACACTGAGAAAAAACTATTATGTACCCATTTCACAGTTTCAGCACAGCTAATGTGGCCATGATGATGACAGAGCTAAGATATCAAGAATGGTGATAATGCAATTATGGTCTCTGATCTTATGCCTCCTGTCGCAGTAGCATCAAGCAAACCCAGTTACAGGAGCTGCTGTTTAAGGGGTGCTCTTGTTACTGGGAAGGTACCAGGAGTGAAGCTCCTCAGGTCTCAGAGGGTTTAGAAGGGCAAGGGCCACTTCTGGGAAGCAACGAGTACAGCGAAATGGCACCTCTGGGTTCCCTCCTGCCTCCTCAGGTACTGGGAGACACAAAGCTCTGCTTTTTCAGCGATTCATCTTTTTCAGTGTCTAGATAACGCGACCAGAAAAGACTTTCTTTTTTTTAGGTGTATCATCACCCTAATGGAAGAGAATTTTTTTTTTTTACTTTTTTTTTTAAAGACAATCCTCAAAAAGCAAATTAAAAGTCCAGCACAAGGCATGTTTTTTTCTATCCTGAACACATTTGGCAGTGCTGCTCTTAGCTAGTATCTCCACATCTCTATCAGCTGAGACAGACTTCTTTGAAAGACAGCAGGCATTAGAAGCTTGGTCCTAATTCATGCAGAGGCCTATTTATCCTTCCTCCCCCAGCCCTACCCCCCAAGTTTGTGTTAAATTGAAGAGGCATCTTATTCTGAAAGTTGCTGATTCTGAAAGGCTGCATCCTTATATCATATCATTTTATGAAATCTAAGAATATGAAAGAGAACGCTGGTTTGGCTTTATGCCCCTATTTACGTTTGTGAAGTACAGACTTTGTACAGAGTATCTCAATTATATGCAGGCTTTTTTGTTTTAAGAAACAAACACAAAGCAACTGTTTACCAACCCCAGAACTTGACAAGCCTTCAGAATAAGTCTGAGTGTCCCAACTTATCTTGTCATGGTTTGGTTTTGCAGACAGATGACAACACGAGAAGAGATTCTGACATTTTTAACAGATTACTAACACTGAGACCTTCTCATTTCAAAACAAAGCCATGGAACAGATACCAAACATCAACAAAGTGATTCCAAAAATCAGATTAACACCCCTTGCTTAAAAAAAGAAAGCAGCAAATGAAACCATGAAATATTTAGCAACTAGATCATCTTGGCTGCACCTACGTGCATCTCTACTTCCTACACAAGAGTTCCCGCTGATAAAGTCCAACTCTTTGTTCTGGTCAGTACTCCTCTCCCTTTCAAACATCACCAATGCCAAAGAAGCACATTTATTTTTATTTTATCTTCCAGCTGAACTATTCTATTCTAAAATCATGGGTCTAAACAGAAGGAAGCTGAGGAGACAGTATTAGAACCCAAAAATCACTGTTCATGGGCTTTTATGAAAGCCAGTTCGTTTGAGGACAGGTAAGTAGCAAGGGGGGAAACACGATTATAGCTTCTAATTCAGAGAGAACTGTATAGGAGAAAAAGGTTAAGTTAGCAAAGTGCAGGAACACATTGCTTATCTGAAAGCAAACGGCTTTGTCCTTCTAAACCCCAAGAGGTTGACGTACTGCCTTGGTGACAAATTCAGACTGGTACAAACTGAAGCTTAAGGCATACTACAAGATAGAAGAGATGCAGGGAAATAGTTCAAATTAGACAGAGGGAAGATGTTATAAACAGCTTGTTCTATAAGCAACTTGACGACGTGAACACGCTGACTGCCATGAAGGTGCCAGTGCTGGCAAAGAAAAGGCTTAAAAGGAGGAGGTAAGAGGTAGGACAGAGGAGTGGGTCCAAGCATGCTGGAAAAATGAGTGTATCAGTCAGGTCATCTGAGGATACTCCAGAAGAATTACCTGAGACATTTTGGCAGGTGGAAAAACACTAGTATCTCAGATTTAATAACTTTTAGGTATTTGAATAATGCTGTGTGGAAAAAGCCCACTTTGGTGGAAAACACTATGCTGGGCCCTCTAAAACTAGCATGAGGAAAACAAGCCCTTCAGCTCTGCAGGAGCAGTGTATGGAAGAGCCACCATTCACAGACACATCAGCGCTGTCTCGAAGCCTGGCGTGGAAAAACACTAGTATCTCAGATTTAATAACTTTTAGGTATTTGAATAATGCTGTGTGGAAAAAGCCCACTTTGGTGGAAAACACTATGCTGGGCCCTCTAAAACTAGCATGAGGAAAACAAGCCCTTCAGCTCTGCAGGAGCAGTGTATGGAAGAGCCACCATTCACAGACACATCAGCGCTGTCTCGAAGCCTGGCCACTGCCTTAGGCTGGCTGTGCTGCTGGTACATGCCGCGCGGGGACGGCTGGCCGTGGGGCAGCCCT